CCAGCAGGTTTTGCCTTTGTCTTGAAGGAACTTAGACTAGTGAAGCACACTGCCGTGGGAAGCTGTCCTGGGCTACATGGTGCTGTGAGTTCCCCATTCCGAGGATGGAAAGAGCATGCACGTCAGGGAAACCTTATTTGGGTTTTGAAGAATGAGTAGGAGTTGGAGAGAATGGTGTCATGGGAGACTCAGGATATGGTCTCAGTGAGACTTCAGACAGTAGATGCTGATACTGACCTGTTGGATGCCTGCCTGGCATCGGCTCTTACTGTCTACTGAGCTGTGAAGCTTTGCCTCATCTTTGCTCCTTCCAGTATGATTGGAATGTCTGTCTGGCTTTTCAGAATTTGGGACTAAAGTATTTAAAATGGTGATTTGGGGTAGGGTGGGGCAGAAATTGATTCTCTCCGGGTTATGCTGGTGGTGGTGATAAGCTTCAGCACTGACTGGCTCATTTGTCACCAGCTGGGCTGCAGCTCAGTGGAGCGAGCCCTGGTGATGGACTCCTTGAGGTGCTGTCTGTGAAGCCAGATCACTCGAGGGTCCTTGCCTTCCTTTGGGAGGGGGCAGTGAAGACACTGAAACTGTGAGCCATCAGCCAGACCAGCCAGACCCATTCTTTGGGGTCCCCAAATAATGTTGGCATCTCCATGGACATTAACAGAGCATGGCGTGGTTGGAGATATGGAGGTACCTAGTTAAAGAAGAAAGTTATTTGAGTCATAAAGTCCTTTGGGAGGTGAATAACGTTGGCTGCCCCACACTCTCAAGAACCCCATGCCCTTGGTCATCCCCAAGGCCGTTTCCCACCCGCTGGGTTTCCCACCTAGCCAGATCTCCCACCAACCTTGGCTCTCAAAATGGAATTTGTTTGCCATCATGATCTAGACCAGCACTGTTCAATAAAGACAGTGTGAATCAGTTATATACTTTTTAAAAAAAAATAAATTTATTTATTTATTTTTGGCTGCGTTGGGTCTTCGTTGCTGCGTGCGGACTTTCTGTAGTTTCGGTGAGCGGGGGCTACTCTTCATTGCGGTGTGCAAGCTTCTCATTGCGGTGGCTTCTCTTGTTGCAGAGCACGGGCTCTGGGGTGCACGGGCTTCAGTAGTTGTGGCACGCAGGCTCAGTAATTGTGGCACGTGGGCTCAGTAGTTGTGGCTTGCAGGCTTAGTTGCTCCGCGGCATGTGGGATCTTCCCCGACCAGGGCTCAAACCTGTGTCCCCTGCACTGGCAGGCGGATTCTTAACCACTGCGCCACCAGGGAAGTCTCGCCAGTTATATACTTTTAAGTTTTCAGATACCCACATTAAACAGGTGAAATTAATTTTAATAAATATATTTTATTTAACCCAATGTGTCTATAATATTTCATCATGTGGTAATAGCCGTATTTCACGTGCTCATGAGCCATGTGTGGCTAGCGGCTACTGTGTTTGGATGGGGCAGATTTAGACTAACTTTACCTGACTAACCAGGACTGGGGCAATGAAGAGACTAGTTTGTGATTCTACATCTAATTAGGACTGAACAAGATCAAATCTCAGTTCAGTCTCTGTTTAAAAGATATCAAACGGGAAACACGGAGGTTTTGTAGATCGCTGCTGGTTGTGCTGTTCTACTTTTAATCCTGCCCTGTCTCATGGGTCTCAGCTCCCTGAGGGAAGGGCCTCTGGGGGCTTTTCCGCCTCCTTGATCATAGCACATGCCCTGGAGCCATGTGCCCCCAACAGCCTTTCACAGCTGCTTGGGGATTGAATTTGAGATGCTTTTAGTGGTTGCTAGATTTTTTTGTTTTTCAAGGAAATGAACCCCAGTTAATCATTGTCTCGAGGTAGTTTTGCCTGCCTTATTGACCAGATTTCTGAAACATGAATAATATGTCAGACATTGAGAGCATGTGATCTAAAAGTTTTTTTGCCTGAGGAATTTAGTGAGAGATGATTAAGAAGTTACTAACTGTTCCTCAGTCAGAATTTAATACTCAGAGATTTAAAGGGAAAAGGCTTTCTTGTAAACAAGCAGCCTTCTCATGGTGTTTGCGTTTCAGGAAACAGGTAGAGAGGTTAGTGATGGATCTGACACAGTATGGTCTTCTCCCTGGGATGGGGATGGGGGCCAGGCAGGGGAGCTGGTGGGAGGACCAGAACACACGCACACATCTGCACACACATGCACGCACTGTCAAAACACACACTTTCCCCTAAGCTGGGGGTCGGGAGACTAGGTGCTCAGTATGGACTCTGTGAAAGGAGGGAGGAGGAGGGATTAGGTGGGCTTTGGGTTCTGATTTGGCTGTCTCCCAGCCCCTTGCTCTTCCAGCCACTCTCTCCCCTCCTCTGGGAATGCTGGGGTCTCTTGTCCTGCCTCGGAGCCAGGCTGAGCCCCCAGCTGTGCTTTAGGGCTCCTGGGCCTGAGCAAATCTCCTCTTCTACCTGAACCCTTCTTCCCCTGCTCCCCTCCCCGGCCCCCCCAATTTCCAAGAGCAGTGACTTTGTCTAATCTCATCATTGCCCTGCCAAGAATCCAGGAAGGCACTGGAGTCCCTTTGGGCGTTGTCCCTGCTTATCCCAGCTCCACCCCCCTGCCAGCCTCCGCTTGCCTGTGCTCTCTTGCCTCTGGGCCTTTGCACATACTCTTGTCTCTGCCTGGAGCTTCTTTTTTGTCTTGTCCTTCTGGCCACCACCTGCTTCCCCTTTAAGACCAAGCTCCTGCATCATTTTATGATTACTTGTTTATTCATTTCTTCACTTATTTATTCAACCAATATGTATCTGGCACTGAGCTGGATGTTAGAAAAATGGAGACATCTCAGAGTTTATGTTTATTCGAGAAGAGAGACATTAAGCCAAGACTGTGAACGTTTTGAATCCACAGGTAGCAGTTTTCCTAAACTTTCAGTACCTGACCCTTGACCCATCTCCTCTGCACCCTTCAGTCACACCAGCCCCACTTCACCCACTCAGACCTCTGTCATAGCACTTAACACACTCTTGAAACTACTGATTTATTTTTCCTATCTTTCTCACAAGCCCTGATTCCAGGTTCCTGGTAGATAAATATTAATAGTAAATGTTCGTTGAATGTATGGATGAAATGATGGCTTGGCTGATAGTCGGAGGGCTTTTCTGTAAGAAACCCGGAGATCATGTAGCGAATGGTTTTCCTTACCAGGGCTGTGCCTGCAAGTGTCACTAAAAAGACTCCAGGTTGTAGCAAGAGCACTTTGCTTGTGGACAGTAGAGGTTTGGTCTCTGGCTTGTCACTTGCTGTCGGGCCTACAAAGCAGTTTTCCAGATTGCCTCTGACCCTGGGGTAGAATTTATAGGTGCCGAAACCACTGTGTCTGATGTCTGTACACCTTACTGGATGCCACTGGTTCCCATAATCATGCCGTGGCATCCTTCTCCTTGGGACTCCTTTTTGGGGGCAGCCTGGAGACCTGTGACCCACACCTGCCATCTAGTTTGTTTTTTGTAGCTAGGTTCATTGTTTTGGGTTCCCTCTGTATCTTGGTTGATTTTTTTTTAATGTTTATAGTGAAATTCACTCTTTGTGGTATACAGTTCTTTGAGTTTGGACAGATGCGTAGAATCATGTATCTACCCCCACAGTCACGGTGCAGAATAGGTTGATTACCCAAAAATCCACTTGTGCTGCCCCTTTGTAGTCAGTCACTCCCTTCACCCAAGCCCTGGAAACCACAGGTTTGTCTTCTGTCCCTATAATTTTGCCTTTTCAAGAATGTCACATAAATGGTATTGTGCAGTATGTAGCCTTTTGGGACTGGCTTCTTTCACATATGCGTGTAATATTCATCCATGTTGTGTGAATCAATCGTTTGCTCCTTTTTATTGCTGAACAGTATTTCATGGTACGGATGTGCCACAGTTTATCTGTTCACCAGATGAAGGACATTTGGCTTGTTTTCACTTTTTGGCGATCATGAATAAAGCCTCTGAACACTTGCATGCAGGTTTTTGTGTGAATGTACATTTTTATTCCTCTTCATTGAATACCTAGGAGTGGGGTTGCTGGGTCACTTGGTAAGTGTATGTTTATAAGGAACTGCCAAACTGTTTTCCAAAGAGCTGCACCGTTTTACATTCCCACCAGCAATGAATGAAAGTTCCAGTTGCTCTGGATCCTTTCCAGCCTTTGGTATTATCAATTTTAAAAAATTTTAGCCATTGTAATAGATGTCCTCTCTAGTTTTTAATCTGCAGTTTTCTTTGCTCACTCTCCCAGTTGCTGACAGGATCTAAATACCATTATTTGATTTGATTTGGCAGGGATGTTATCCATACCCATGTGAGATTTGACTTCTTAATTTATAGGTGCTCAGAGTGAAAGGGCACTGGGGATATCAAGCCTTCCTAAAACCTTTTGAGGAAAATGTTATATATTGTATCATTCTGTAATTTTAGAATTTAAAAAGATTTCTTATTATTAGGGTTAAATTCTTTATTTTAAAATTGCTATTTTCTTGACCAATTGTAGTGAACAAAAGTTACTAATCTTTTTTTTTTTTTAAGAAGATGTTGGGGGTAGGAGTTTATTAATTTATTTATTTATTTTTGCTGAGTTGGGCCTTCGTTTCTGTGTGAGGGCTTTCTCTAGTTGCGGCAAGTGGGGGCCCCTCTTCATCGCGGTGTGCAGGCCTGTCACTATCGCGGCCTCTCTTGTTGCGGAGCACAGGCTCCAGACGCGCAGGCTCAGTAGTTGTGGCTCACGGGCCTGGTTGCTCCGCGGCATGTGGGATCTTCCCGGACCGGGGCTTGAACCCGTGTCCCCTGCATCGGCGGGCAGAATCTCAACCGCTGCGCCACCAGGGAAGCCCCCAAAGTTACTAATCTTGAAATTGAAATTTCTTTGACCTGTTCTTCTTACCTCTCCCTTTCATGTGGCAAGGTGTCCAGTCTGTCTTCACAAAACATAATTATTTTTTTAAGGTATGTTATTGGTGGCCATAACACTTTTTCCCCTTCCTTCTTTTTAGGCCCCTAATCGTCAACTCATGACTTACTGGTTACAAGAGCTTCAGCAGAAGAGATGGGAATATTGCAACAGTCTCGACATGGTAAAGTGGGACAGCAGGACCTCCCCAACTCCAGGGGATTTTTCTAAGGGTCTTGTGGCCAGAGATAACACAGGTAGGTCAGAAAGGGAGGGCACCTGTGTCAGTGCTTTGTGTATCGCCGTTTGACGTAGCAAGTCAGCTTGGCAGAGGAATTGAGAATGAAAATAATGGTGATGATCCCTTATAAATGGGCTGCATCCTATAGTTATTGAGGGCTTCCGTTTCCATGTACAGAATTGTATTCAAGCCCAATGACAACCTCAGGAGTAAGGCAAGGCTGGTGCTAAGCGTCCTAAAGAGATGGTACGGCTGAGAGCAGTGGGTCGTGAGTTGTGCTGAAGTCCAGTCTGACTCCAGGGCCAGCCCGCTCTCTACCCTGTCTGAAGGTGAAGCACCCAAACCCACAGCCCTGTGCACAGATATGTGTGCACACTGGCAAGATGTTCTCGAAGCACTCAGTGTGATTCAGTGATGCTTCTTGGGAAGATTTTAGCTATCAGACACTAATTCTGTTTTATCCTGGATCTGTGGTATTTCCATAACTCATGCTAATCCCTGGCTGATTGCAGTGTGGAGATGATGTGGTTTTATATTTGAATATCAAAAATTAGAACCCTGTGATCTCCTCATGACTGTCTGGTGGTGCTGAGCCTTGTTAACTGAAAGAACAGGACTATGGTTATACACAGACCACCCCTGACCCGGCGCCTGCAGGGACTACTGAGGTGGGGCTGTATCTGTGGTCCCTCTCGTCACACAGGGAGAAGAGCAGGCCCGGAAAAACCTGACCCCTGGGCCTTGAAGTAAGGCATGAAGAGGCCAGGCCATCACACCAGCATTTCTTAAGGACTGAAGGAGTGCATATTGGAATTCAGCCAGCATGGGCTAGTTCTCATGCCTGTAAGGAGGCGTGGTCCAAGCTTTGTAACACCTGCGGGACCTTCGCTCAGGAGGACACAGGCTACAGTCAAGCTCCCCGTAAATGAACGGTGGCATCGGCACATGTGCAGCCAACTTGTTTTGGAAACAAACGCCTTCTTGGACTTCCTAAATTATTTTTTTCCTCCAAATCCCTGTTTTCCTGCCAGCCTTGTTTTTACCAATCAGCAGGTTAACCCTCTGGTCAGTGAGAAATTACTATGTGTACTTCACTCCTCTTCCTATGCTGTGCTATGAGAGTTCTCAGGTCATTTTCATGGATGTCTTAACACGAATGACAGCAGGAGCTGAGAGGATGCCTCCAGTTTGGCTGAGAGGATGCCAGAACCCTCACTATGTTTAGTTTGTACTTCTGCTCATTGATGACTTAGTTATTTAAAAAACCACTATTATAGTGCTTTTGATCAAAAGAAGCTCTATAACTCAGTATCAGTCACTTGGAACGATTGGAAACCCTGCAGGGAAACCAGCAGTATTCATGGTGGTAGCTAGTGCCTTTGGCACAGACGATACTCACTTTGCCTCTGTTCCTTCTTTCTGAGGTCACCAAGCACTTCTCTCTAAGGAAGACTCAGGCATTAGACCGAGAGGAAGACCAAAGGAATGAAGCCCTGTGGTCTCTTTATAACACGCATCCTTCCTTCTTTTAAGCCAAAGTGCTGAGGCTAGGGAGCCGGCAAAAACACCTGCAGCCCGCATTTGGTTCTCTGCATTTGGTTTTGGGACTCTAGCCTGGGAATTTAGAGTTGGCACCCTCTGGTGTTTACTCATTCATTCAGCAAGTAGATGCCCATGATGGGCCTGGATCTCCCCCCTCACAGAGTTTCTAGTCAAGCAGAGTGAAGAAAAAGTGAGATCACATGAGAGGGAAGGTACAGGGTACCAAGTGCCATGAATGGGTTGAGCACAGCTTTGGGGTGGGTGGGTTCACTCTCTGAGACCTGAGGATGACCCGGAGTCAGGCCAGGTAAGAGGAGTGCAATGCCCTCCAGGAGCTGGAAGGAGGGTGTGGCCAGAGGGTGCCAGCAGTGAGCTGAGCCTGGAGGCACACCCAGGGCCAGGGTGGGAGGGGCCTGGACCTCTGGGTTTGGGGTTTTGGACTCTCCTAAGAGCAGTGGAATGCTCTTAAATGCTCTTAAAATTGCTATTTTCTTGACCACTTGTAGTGAACAAAAGTTACTTGAAGTCATCTTGAACAAAAGTTCAAAGTCATCTTGAACAAAAGTCATCTTGAAGATTTTATGTGCGGAACCGACTGTAATTTTGAACTTCTGCCAATTTTTATATAGCTTTTAAGAACAAATGATGAAACTTTGGATGACCAGGCAATTTTCAAGACTATAATTATTCAGGAAGTCAGAAAGTCTAAAGGGGGAAGACAAGAAGAAAAGGCTAGATTTTCGTCACCCTCCTTTTTTATCATCATTTTAGATAAAAATGGGTTAAAAGGTAAAATGAGTTAAGGTATGTGGTGGTGCTCTGTCGTGTTTCTGAAGCCATGCTTGTAATTATCTGCTCTGCTTATCCTAAATCGTGCTAACTCTAGCTAGGATTGAAGACAAATGTTTTATTACTCTGATGTACATTAAAAAATAAAACTTTTCCTACTGTCCTCTCCTTGTTACCCAGTTTTTGGTAACATTTTCATTTGTTGTCTAATGGGTGTCACCCATCAGTACCCTCCTAGCACCGAAATTCAACATGGGGAAAGATATAGGGAATTAACGTTTGACAGGCAGTTGTATCTTGGAAGGCAGCTCTCTCTGGTGGAAGGATCCCTGTGATCCTGGGTTTGAGTCTTGGCTTTGATATTTACTATTTGTCAGACTCTGAGTGAGTCATTTTCTCTCTAGTAAAGGGTAGCAAACCGCAGCCTGTGGAAATGAAGTTTTATCAGAATAAAGCACCACTCATTTATTTGCATATTGTCTGTGGCCGCTTTTGCACACCAGTGGTAGAGTTGAATAGTTGTCACAGAGACCATTTGGCTCACCAGTCTAAAATATCTACTACTGTCTGGGCCTTTAAGAAGAAGTTTGCTGACCCTTGCTGTGAAGTCTTGAGCATACCTCTCTTTTTGAGCCTCAGTTTCTTTATCCGTAAAATGGACATTGTTCATTCAGTCTTTCACTCCAGGCATTCCTGTATTCTAGGCATTTGTGCCAGTGCCTGGGATGTAAAGACAAATAAGTCATGGGTCATGTTCTCAAGGAGTGTGTGGTCTAGTGAGGGACCCAGACAGGTAAAGAGGCCTGCACAATGCAGTCTGGTAAGCACAGGGCCAGAGGTGAGCACAGGAAGCTTACCTGCGTGTGGGTGTTGGAGGGTAGGGTGTTGGTGGTGTCTGAGAAGGCTTCCTGGACTAGGAGAGGGCTGAACTGAGTCCTGAAGAGCTGGCCTTGTGAAGCAGGGAAAGGAAAGGCCTGGAGACCCTAGAGACCAGGGCCTGACCTGAAGGTAGAGAGTGTGGACAGGAGTGACAAAGAGAAAGTTGGATGGATGATCAGGGACCAGACCTGGAAGGGCTTATGCATTTGAGATGATTAACCATGGCCGAGTGGGAGAGAATGGATTCCTTGGCAAGACAAGAGGAAGGGAGACCAGTTAGAAGGCTGGTTGAGCCTAGAAATCATAGTATCCTTGAGTAGGGTTGCAGCAGAGAAGATGGAGAAAAGTGGGCAGAGTCGGGAGATTGTATGGTGGGAGAACTGGTGGATTAAAAGGTGGGATTAGCTTTGAGGGAGAGGGAAGGCAGAGGGTGCCATCCAGGTCCCAGGCCCAGGCAGTTGGCTGGATGGGATTGGAAGGAATACTAACAACAACCTTGTCCCCCACCCGTCCCCATCCCGCCAGTATTTCTGTTTTGAGGATCAGATGGGAAACTGCAGTGTTAAGTGTAAAGTGTCAAGTGTATTATGTATACACACGTATACATACATATATGATATTACCATTTTGAATCGGTTAGGATTATGTTCAGCCGCAATTAACAGGAAACCTAATAGGGACTTACAAATAGAGATTTATTTGTCTCATGATGGCAGTCCATAGCTGGCGAACCTCCTCCCCAGTGCCATTGAGGGACCCATTCTGTTCCCCAGCCTTAGAGTATTAGCTTCCCTCCTCGTGCTAGCTGCTTTTGGGAGTGGCACCTATATTAAAAAGGAGAAAGCTCTCCCAGAAACTCTTGCTTTATGCCTTATTAACTAGAACTGTGTCATGGAGACCCTGGAATGGAGTTTGAGGAGGCCAGTGTTTTAGCTGAGCGTGTGGCCGCCATCAAAACCAGAGTCTGTAAGGAAGAGCTAGAATGGGTATCAGATAGGCAGCTGGCAGTGTCACGTAACTGCCTACATTAAATTTGTTTTCAAGAGTTCATGTTTCTAGAGTAAGAATCTGTTCATCCGTGTGACTGTAATTTGCAGCCTCATATTAGTCAATCAAGTGTTAGAAAGTGAGATGACTTTGTTTTATCTGATCTGTCTGCCTTCCATCTGCAGCCTGGCCTCTGAAAGTATGCCACGCCTCAGACACCACTCTGCTTGTCTTCCGTGTTTGGATAGATAAAGACTTAGTTTCAACACAAAAGGAATAATTTGCAAAGATAAAATCAAGAGTCTGCAGACCTTCATAGCTGTTGGGAATGAGGCAGCCAGAATCCAAAGGAGGCTTGTAGCGAGCTAATAGCCTCATTACGAGCTGTGTGTCCAGCACGTTCTGTTTACCTCATTTCCCATGTAAACTAATAGACAAACAAGTCAGGGATAACAAGACTTTGTTTTTTTAAGACTTCCTGAGAGTTCAGGAATACAAAAGCCCTCACCATCACAGGGGGAAAATGGTACAGTGAAGATGGTTTGAGGGATGACCACACCTTTCCTTCTCTGAAGCAGCCTCGAGAGTAAGTGCCACCCTCTCGGCTTGTGTGGGAGCAGGGGGTGGGGAAGGGAAGTGGCTGCTTGTTCCAGTCCTCCCCCAGTTTGAGCCGCGCTCTCTGTGCAAGTGCTGGAACTGGTGGGAGGGAAACCGTAGGGTGGGACGCAGACCCCACATTAGCAAAGCCACAGGAATTCCATGGAATCATTTCATGTCACAGTTCCCTAAAGTCATCAAAGAAGCTGTGCTTTTATGTTATCCTGTTTGTAGAATACTACAAAATGCCATGTGGTGTTTTTTGTTTTTGTTTTTTTTAAAACATCTTTATTGGGGTATAATTGCTTTACAATGGTGTGTTAGTTTCTGCTTTATAACAAAGTGAATCAGTTTTACATATACATATGTTCCCATATGTCTTCCTTCTTGCGTCTCCCTCCCTCCCACTCTCCCTATCCCACCCCTCCAGGCTGTCACAAAGCACCGAGCTAATATCCCTGTGCCTTGCGGCTGCTTCCCCCTAGCTATCTACCTTACTATGTTTGTTAGTGTGTATATGTCCATGACTCTCTCTCACCCTGTCAAAGCTCACCCTTCCCCCTCCCCATATCCTCAAGTCTGTTCTCCAGTAGGTCTGCGTCTCCACGTGTTGTTTTAAAGTGTAAGTCACGGTGATTAGCAGCCTTGTAGCTGAGAGGCAGCCTGATCTAGTGCAGAAAGCTGATGGAATGAAGGGCACACACTGTTTCCCTCTCTGGGAGCAAGATGCTGTCTCTGATTCCTTCTGGATGGAAGGTTCTGTGATTCCTAACGTCAGGCTGTGAAAGGGAGGGAGATGATGAGCAGGGTCAGATTCCAGCTGTGTCTCTGGGGGAGCCTGGGGGAGCCTCCTGAAGAAGGTCCAGAGGAGACAGTCCGTGGTGGGCTGGAGTGTGGTGCCTGTGGAGGCAGGCTGGGCCTGGCTCTGGGTGTGATGTGGCACAGTGAACGGGGGGTGGGGGGGGGGGGGGGGGGGTGGGGCGGGGGTTGGGCGGTGTGCTGGGGTGCTGAGCCGCTGCGGGAGTGCAGGGCGGTGGGAGAGGGGAAGAGAGGGAAGCCCTGGAGTCAGGTGTGCTCCCCACCCCTAGTGCAGGGGGTCTCTCAGAGGCAAGGTGGCAGGAGAGGGGCAGCCAGGAGGGATGATGGGCGTGGTTCCTTAGAGAACGACATGGGCCTGCTGCCTCCTGCGTGATTTCCTCAGCCTCCAGAAGGCCCTCCCTGCCGCACCACGGCAGTCGTTTATTCATTCCTTCAACCATTTTACCAGCATTTATTGAGTCTCTCCTCTGTGGCTGCTGTTGGGTACGCAGCTGTTAGCAAATCAGGCTGGGGTCCAGTTCTCACAAGATTTACGTCCTTGGTGAGGCATGGGAGAGAGCAGACAGATGCGTAATTAGCCAGACACGTGGACTGGCCCACGGGGGACGCTCAGACCCGGTGGCTTGCTGCCTCTTCCTTTTGGGGTTAGATGCACACTGTGTCCTTACTTGGAAGATAACTGTACCGCTCCTGACCACGCCTTCACAATCTGGGTTAAACTCACTTTGATAAAAAAGGAAAAAAAGCTTTTTCAGGTTAACCCTGCTCTGAGTGTCCTCCACCAGCTCACACTGGGGACTTGCAGGCTATCTTTTGCGGTATCTTTGAGACACATGGCAATGGCCTTTTCCCAGTGCTTTTCCCTCCTTTCTTGGAGGATGCTGCCTCTTGGGCACTCTGTTCTGCCCTCTGCGAGGTTGCTCGTGGTGGAGCTAGGAGCCGGAGAGGAGGGCAGACTCACGGAGGTGTCCAGATGTGAGCAGGAGCCTCCCTCTGTGGGCCCCACAGGGCCCCTGGTGTTAGAATGCGTTCAGCGGGAAGGACTCCTGGAGATCTGGGAATGGCCACGCCAGAATGATAGAGGCTGTGCTAGAATCAGAACCCAGGAAATCTGTGGTCTAAAAGTCGCTCAGAGGTGTCATTTAGGCATTGGGAAGTGTTCAGAAATAACAGAGAAGGTCTGAACACCAAAACTCTTCAAGCACAGACTCTTTCCCCACTGCAGCTGCAAGATAAAGCACATGTTCATGAATCCAATCCATCCTCTTAAGGATTTCAAGGAAATACTGCCCTGTCCTAGTTTGTGTCCTTCTTGAGGCGGTTCCCTGAATGCTAATGTTAGGACATGTATTGAGGGGAAGCCAGCAGCTCCGCTTTTAATTAAGGAAATCTCATGTGGTCTTTTAACAACCAAAAACCAGACAAAACGATCTAGCTAAAACTGGGAAATGGCTTCTTTTTCACGTCAAACGATGACTTTTAGAAACGGTTTGTTTTGCCAACATCCTCCCTGGCCTCCGGTCCCTTTTCTGCACCCCACCCCCAGGGCCTGAGTTCCTCAGGAACCATTCCCAGTGTGGGTCCAGGGCTGCTGGCAGGCCTGGGCGTCCTGGTAACAGGTGCTTGGCTATGCGAGAGAGCTTGACAGTCTCACCCGCAGAGGGGCCGCTCCTTGCTGCCAACCCACACAGGAAGAAGGGGCTGGACTCTGCTCGAAACAGAAACAGGTGCAGTGCACTGTGTTTATTTCCTGGTTTGGTTTAGAGTTGTAATGCTTTGCCTGTGAGGGGTCTGCGAAAGACCAGCCTCCGGGAAGCCTGGGTGTCGGTTTTACCTTTGTCTGAAATAGAGGTGGTGCATCTGTGTGCCCAATGACCGACACACACTCACAGATGTCGGATGCCTGCCTCTACCCAGTACAGTCACTGCACCCGCCATAAGGCTGTTGTCACTGCAGGAGCAGGTGACTGCCTTCTAGCCCCAGCTCAGGGCTTCTGTGTCCTGACAAATAAAGTAGGTAGAGGAAACTGGACCTGGTTAGTGGTGTTTGAACTTGTTTTTTGTTTGTTTATTGGAACTCTTTTTTTCCAAATGAAATCTCAAGAGGAACTCCAGGATATAAAAGAGTGAAAAGAGGAACCACTGTGGTTGAAGCTGAGAGTGGGACCCCTTCCTTCTCTCCCTCTGAAAATCCCCAAGGCATCTCCTGGACCCTAAGGCTCAGAGGAAAGTCTGGATACCAGGGACTCGATGCATTCGGTGGTGACTTGGAGCTTAACATTTTATTATTTTATATCTTTCTCCTAGATGTGTTCTCCTTTAGGGCAAGAACTCTCTCATTTTTTTTTTTTTTGTACTCCGAGCACCTAGTGCTTCATACACAGTGGTAACTTAAACCAAGAATCAGGAACCAGTGGTGGTTTGTAACTTCTGGCCTTCTTGACTTAATCTTATAATCCATTGCCAAGCCTATAGTTCTTCTGTCTCCCAACACACCCTCTTGCTTTTTCCACTTAGAACGCTACTATGAGCCAGGTGTTGACTCTCCTGGGCAGGTACCAGTTCCCCTCATGGATACACAGCAGTCATTTCGTGTCACAGCCAGCATACTTTTCCCAGTGTGTTCCCGGAGCCCTTGCCATGCTGACTGTGGTCAAGTTAGTGACCTGCCAACAAAGTGTGAGCCCATCATAAGGTGTTCCCGTTTGGAACATCAATTTTCAAGGGCCCCCGAGTCCAGGATTCCCTGTGCTCTGCCTTCTCTATGAGTGCTCGATGACCTTCACAGTGACCTGTTCTAAGTGAACTCAGGTTGTGTGCTCATCTGATTAGAAAGTAATTTTTTACTTGGTTATCAGTGTTCAGCGTTCCGTTCTGATTCTGTTTCCACTGAAGGAGTGATGGTTGATATTGCCAATGCAGGGATGCTTTATTCAAGGGGAGTATAGGTCAAATTGATTATTGTAAAACAATGTTAAATTCTGTTTACAAACATATATATTCTCTGAGAGATTATATCGTTTGGAAGAATACAAAGTATTTATTGTTGGATACATTTTATCAAAACTTTAGAAAAGTAAGTTTTTATTATGGGTCTTATGGGAAATTTTAAGCATATGCAAAGAGAGAATAACATAATATTACCCACATGTTTATTAGGTAGTTTCAGCAATCAGTATTTCATGACCCATCTTGTTTCACTGATATACTTACCCACTTAATTTTGTTATTTGGAAGCAAATAACATGTTATTTGAGGCAAATATTATTTATTTGTTAAATAACAAAATGTTATCTTTTTCTTTGAATTTTATTTTATTTATTTTTTTATACAGCAGGCTCTTACTATCCATTTTATACATATTAGTGTATATATGTCAATCCCAATCTAAAAATACAGAACGCTTCATGAATTTGCATGTCATCCTTGCGCAGGGGCCATGCTAATCTTTTGTGTATCGTTCTAGTTTTAGTATATGTGCTGCTGAAGCGAGCACCAAAATGTTGTTATCTTGAAGCAAATTCTGGGCGTCATATGTGCAACGTTAAATATTTCAAACATTTACATTTTATTTTAAGATTTTTTTTGATGTGGACCATTTTTAAAGTCTTTATTGAATTTGTTGCAGTATTGCTTCTGTTTTTTTATGTTTTTTGGTTTTTTGGCCACGAGGCATGAGGGATCTTAGCTCCCCGACCAGGGATCAAACCCACACCCCCCGCTGCAATGGAAGGCAAAGTCTTAACCACTGGACCCCCAGGGAAGTCCCTCAACCACTTACATTTTAAAGATACATTCTGAAATTTGATCATGCTTTAGCATTAATGCATTTGCCTATGAATTTACTGAACTGCTATCCTTTATATGCAAACTTATTTTTTCAGTGTCACTCTTTGCGATCAGCAAGTATATATATATTCTATTCCCCTCACTTTCTTACAGAAAAGGGCGTTAATGTAATCTGGTCTGCACTTCGCTTTTTTCACCTAACAGTTTATCCTGGAAATTGTGCCTTATCAGTATAGGTGAGTGGACCATGATCACAGCTTTATCCCTGGTTTACTGATCTACAAGACAGCGGAGAAGAGCCCTAGCTGCTTCTTTCCCTGGGCCGATGCTGTTAACTTGGTGGTTTGAAGCATGTACCACCTTCCTTTGAGGACCATGGGTCTACTTTAGATGAAAATGGTTGCAGAACACGCTAGCCGCCTACAGATTGTGTTTTCATGTAGTACACATTAAAAATATACTATAATATATACTATATAGATTTTTATATAGTATATCAAGACAGTGTACTATGTAGGATATCTAGTTCCCTGTGGAAACTTGCAGTAACTGACACTTGTTTGCCTTTCTTTCAGATTTAATTAACCTGCACCCAAATGCTTCTGCAGAAAAAGCCAGAAATGTCCTAGCTGTGGAAACTGCCCCTGGAGAGCTGGTGGGAGAGCAAGCTGCAAATCAGCCCGCCCCAGGGCATCCAAACTCCATTAACTTCTCTTTGAAACAGTGGGGCACTGAGCTCAAGTGAGTCTTTGGAAAGCAGCATGTGAAACTGAAAATGGCTTATTTCTGATAATGTATATTATAATTTTATATATGAAATTATAAAACCACCTGACATTTGTGAAGGCTTTATCACAAGGTACTTTTGCATATTTTGTTATTTTTTTAGCTTGTATGGAATGACTGTTCTGTGCCTGTTGCTGTGAAACACTTTCACGCTCATGGTTTAATTGCTTGACTCTGTGAGGTAGGTCATATGGTTGACATTTTACAGAGAGAGCAGTTGGCTCAGGAAGAGTCCTTGTCTAAGGTCACAAGTCTCCCAGGCTACAGAGTTGAATGAGCATCACCACAATCAATTTGAGAACATTTTCATTACCCCAGAAAGAAACCCCAGTACCCGTTAGCAGTCCCTTCCCCTTTCCCCCAAACCTCTTCCTACCTGGCCCTTGGTAACCACTAATCTACTTTTTGTGTCAATGGATTTGCCTGTTCGGATATTTCATATAAATGACATCATACGGTATGTGATCCTCTATGTCTTGCTTCTTTCACCGAGCATAATGTTTTTAAGGTTCATCCATGTTGTAGTACATATTAGTACTTCATTTCTTTTTTTGTTGTTATAAATTTATTTTTAGCTGCGTTGGGTCTTCGTTGCTGTGTGCGGGCTTCCTCTAGTTGTGGCGAGCGGGGGCTACTCTTCATTGCAGTGCGTGGGCTTTTCATTGCGTTGGCTTCTCTTGTTGCGGAGCATGGGCTCTAGGCACACGGGCTTCAGTAGTTGTGGCTTGTGGGCTCTAGAGCGCAGGCTCAGCAGTTGTGGCGCATGGGCTTAGTTGCTCCATGGCATGTGGCATCTTCCCAGACCAGGGCTCCAACCCGTGTCCCCTGCATTGGCAGGCGGATTCTTAACCACTGCGCCACCAGGGAAGTCCCTATTTCTTTTTATTGAGCAATAAGATTCCATTATATGGGTATAGCACATTTTGTTTATCCATTCTTCAGTTAAGGGAAATTGGGGTTCTTTCCACTTTTTGGCTACTATGAATACAGCTGCTATAAATATCTGTGTGCAGGTTTTATGTGGACATAATTTTTCAACTTCCTTGAGTAAAAACCAAGGAACACGATTGCTGGATCATATGGTAAGAGTATGTTTAGTTTTGTAAGAAACTGCCAGTCTTCTGAAATGTACCACTTTGCCTTCACTTCTACCAGCGATGAATGAGAGTACCTGTTGCTCCACATCCTTGCCAGCATTTTGTATTGTCAGATTTTTGTCATATCATGCCATATGATGTGATGCATTTTTCATGTCCTTATTTGCCACCTCTGTATCTTCTTTGGTGGAGTGTCTGTTAACGTCTTTGGCCATTTTTTAACTGGGTTGCTTGTTTTCTTATTATTGAGTTTTAAGAGCTCTTTGTATATTTTGGGTAGCAGTCCTTTATCAGATGTGTTTTTTGTAAATATATTTTCACAGTCTGTGGCTGTCGTTTAATTCTCTTATATTGCCTTTCACAGAACAGAAGTTTTAAATTTTAATCAGGTTCAGCTTATCAATTATTTCTTTCAAGATTGTGTCTTTGGTATTGTATCTAATACCTTCACCATACCCAAGGTTGTGTAGGTTTTCTTCTGTGCTAACTTGTAGGAGTTCTATAATTTTGAGTTTTACATTTATGTCTGTGATCCATTTTGAGTGAATTTTTGTGACGTGTGTAAGATTTGTGTCTAGATTCTTTATTTTGTATGTCGATATCTAGTTGTTCCAGCACCGTTTGTTGAAGAGGTTATCTTTGCTCATTGTATTGTCTTTGCTTTTTTTGTCAAAGATCAGTTGACTGTATTTATGTGATTCTATTTCTTGATTCTCTGTTATGTTCCATTAAGGTATTTGTCTGTTCTTTTGCCAATACCACACTGGCTTGATTACCATAGCTTTATAGTAAGCCTCAAAGTAGAGTAGTGTCAGTCTTCCAGCTTTGTTCTTCTTCAGTATTGTGTTGGATATTCTGGGTCTTTCCCCTCTTCATGTAAACTTTAGAATCAGTTTGTCAATAACCACAAAATAACTTGCTAGGATTTTGATTGGGGTTGCATTGAATCTATAGATAAAATTGGGACGAACTGACAATGTTGAGTCTTTCTATTCATGAGTGTGGAATATCTCTCCATTTATTCTGTTCTTCTTTGATTTCATTCATCAGAGTTTTGTGGTTTTCCTCATACAGATCATATATATATATATACTTAGATTTATACTTAAGTACTTTGCTTTCTTGGGTGCTATTGTAAATGATATGGTGTTTTTAATTTCAAATTCCACTTGTTCATTGTTGGTATATAGGAAAACAGTTGAATTTTGTATATTAATCTTATATTGTGCAACCTTGCTGTAATCACTTATTATTTCCAAGAGTTTTTTGGTTAATTCTTTCAGATTTTCTACATAGATGGTGTGTCATCTATGAACAATTTTATGTCTTCCTTCCCAGTCTTTTTAATTTCTTTTCTTTGCCTTATTGCATTAGCAAGGACTTCCAATACGGAGTTGAAAAGGAGTGGTGAGAGGGGACGTCGTTACCTTGTACCTGATCTTAGTGGAAATGCTTCAGGTTTCTTACCATTAAGTATGATGTTAGCTGTAGGCTTTTTGTAGATAGTCTATCAAGTTGAGACAGTTCCCTCTATTCCTAGTTTACTGAGAGTTTTTATCATGAATGGGTGTTGGATTTTGTCAGATGCATTTTCTGCATCTGTTGATAGGATTATGTGATTTTCCTTTTCTAGTCTGTGATGTGATGGATTACAATAATTGATTTTAGTTTTTAAATTTATTTATTATTTTTGGCGGTGTTGGGTCTTCATTGCTGCACACGGGCTTTCTCTAGTTGCAGCGAGCGGCGCTACTCTTCGTTGCGGTGCACGGGCTTCTCGTTGTGGTGGCTTTTCTTGTTGCGGAGCACAGGCCCTAGAGCGCGGGGGCTTGAGTAGATGCGGTGCATGGGCTCAGTAGTTGTGGCTCGTGGGCTCTAGAGCACAGGCTCAGTAGTTGTGGCACACGGGCTTAGTTGCTCTGTGGCATGTGGGATCTTCCCGGATCAGGGCTCAAACCCATGTCCCCTGCATTGGCAGGTGAACTCTTAACCACTGCGCCACCGTTAGAATGTTGAATGAGCCTTGCATACCTTGGATAAATCTCACTTTGTTGTGAAGTATAGTTTTTTTATACATTTTTGAATTTGATTTGCTAATACTTTGTTGAAGATTTTTGTATCTGTGTTCCTAAGAGACATTGGTCTGTAGTTTCTTTTTTTATTCTTTTTTTGGTTTGCCATTAGGGGAATGCTGCTCTCATAGAATGAGTTAGCAAGTATTCTCTCTGCTTCTATCCTCTGAAAGAGATTGTAGATAATTAATATAACTTCCTGAGACTTCCCTGGTGGTCCAGTGGTTAAGACTCTGCGCTCCCAGTGCAGGAGCCTGGGTTCAATCCCTGGTCAGGGAACGAGATCCTGCATGCCACAACTAAAGATCCCGCATGCTGCAACTAAAGGTGCCTTATGTGGCAACGAAGATCCCGTGTGCTGCAACTAGGACCCAATGCAGCCAAATAAATAAATAAATATTTTAAAAATTAGTATAATTTCTTTCTTTAATGTTTGGTAGAGTTCATCAATGAACCCGTTTGGGCCTGTACTTTCTGTTTTGGAAGGTTATTATTGATTCCATTTTAAAAATAGATATAGGCCTATTCAGATCTTTTATTTCTTCTTGTGTGAGTTTTGGCAGATTGTGTCTTTCAAGGGATTGGTCCATTTCATCTAAGTTATCAAATTTATGGACATGGAGTTGTTCGTTGTATTTCTTGCGTATCCTTTTAATTTCCGTGGAATCTGTGGTGATTTTCCCTCTTTAATCTCCAATATTAGTAATTGGTGTCATTTCTTTTTTCCTTAGTTAGTCTGGCTAGAGGCTTATCACACTGATTGATCTTTTCAAAGAACCAGCTTTGGTTTCATGATTGTTTTTTTTAACATTTATTTAATTTATTTTTTGGCTGCGTTGTGTCTTAGTTGCGGCACTAGGGATCTTTCATTGTGGTGCATGGGCTCTTCGTTGCAGTGTGCGGGCTTCTCTCTAGTTGTGGCCTGTGGGCTCCAGAGCACATGGGCTCTGTAGTTGCAGCACGTGGGCTCTTTAGTTGTGGTGTGTGGGCTTAGTAGTTGAGGTGCACGGGCTTAGTTGCCCCACGGCATGTGGGATCTTAGTTCCCTGACCAGGGATCGAATTGGCATCCCCTGCACTGCAAGACAGATTCTTAAGCACTGGACCACCAGATAAGTCTCTGGGTTCATTTTTTTCTGTATTGATTTCCTGTTTTCAACTTTATTGATTTCTGCTCTACTTATTATTATTTATTTTCTTCTGCTTACTTTGGATTTAATTTGCTCTTATTTTTCTAGTATCCTATGGTAGAAACTTGGATTATTAATTTTAGATCTTTTTTCTTTTCTATTATATGCATTCAATGCTATAAATTTCCCTCTAAGCTCTGCTTTTGCTGCATCCCACAGATTTTGATAATTTATGTTTTCATGTAGTTCAGAATATTTTAAATTTTCTCTTGAGATGTCTTCTTTGACTCCTGTTAGTTGGAAATGTGTTGTTTAATCTCCGCATACTTGAAGATTTTCCTATTACCTTCTGTTACTGATTTCTGGTTTAATTCCACTGTGGTCTGAAAGCAGATGTTGTATGATTTCTGTTCTTTAAATTTGTTAAGGTGTGTTTTATGGCCCGGAATGTGGTTTGTCTTGATGAATGGTCCATGTGAGGAAAATGTATATTCTGCTCTTGTTGGATGAAGTAATTTATAGATATCATTTACATGAAGTTGATTGATGGTGTTCAGTTTGACTGTGTCCTTATTGATTTTTTGCCTGCTGGATTTGTCTATTTTGGATAGAGGGGTGTTGAAGTCTCCATCTATGATAGTGGATTCATCTATTTCT